GTATAGATATTATTTAGTGTGTTATGGAGGGAAAAGGGAGAGGGAAAGGGGAGAAGGGAGAAGAAGAGAGAGAGGCAGAAGAAGGGCAGACAGACAGAGAGAAGGTAGAAGAACTGCTTGCCTTGGCAGAAGAGGGAAGTTGGCAGTGGCCAGGGTTTCTCTCTTAAAGGGACAGGGTACCCAAATAATAGACCAGGGAATCAGATTACACAAACTACCACAGTATTAACTGAGAAGGCCTAGAGCAGACCAATGCTGGTTCTGTGACTGCCACTTCAGTCTTTGTGAACCTCTATGAACCTTGCTTAGCTGATTCTGTAGGCTGTGTTCTTCTAGTGTCCTCCACTCCTCTGGCTCCTATAATTCTTCTTCTTCCTCTTACATGGGGTTCTAAGAGCTCTGCCTAGTGTTTAGCTATGAGTCTTTGCATCTGCTCCCATTGAGTTTGTGGAGGAAGCCACTCTTATGACAACAGGGGTAGGCACTAAGCTATGAGTATAGCAAAATGTCATTAGGAATCATTACATTGATTTTTGTTGTGCTATTTTGTTTTATTTTTGTCACTCATGTTTGATGCTTGACCTCTGTGGTGATTTGAAAGAAAATGACCCCTATAAGCTCATAGAGAGTAGCATTACTACTAGAAGGTGTGTCCTTATTAGAGTAGGTGTGACTTTGTTGGAGGAAGTACATCTCAAGAAGGTAGTTTTTCAGGTCTTAAATGCTCAAGCCATGTCTATTGCGACATTCACTTCCTGCTGCCTACTTCTTTAGATGTAGAACCCTCAGCTCCTTCTCCAGCACCATGTCTGTCTGCATGCCACCATGTTTCCCACCATGACAGTAATGGACTAAAACTCTGAATCTTAAGTCAGCTCCAAATAAGTGTTACCTTTATAAGAGTTGGCAGAGCCACAGTGTCTCATCACAGCAAGAGACACCCTAAGATAATCTCTGAACCATCCCACTACTGGATCTAGGCACTGCAGGCTGTATTGGGCATGAACTCTGTCTTAAGGTTTGGGCTTCTTGACAAAACCCACAAGCTCTGAGCCACCATTGCGCCAGCACATCTTGCAGGTAGAACAGGTTGTGGGTAGGAGGTATGTGTGACTGGGCTAGTAGCCAAGTCTAGTCTAACAACTGGGAGCCTAGTCTGATTATAAAAGATGGCCACTTCAGGCTCCAAGCCCTCCATTATGAGGAAATCTTGTTAAGGTCACCCTCATAGGTTCCATGAAGTTTGCACAGCATTAGGTTTTCACATCACCCCTTAAATGGCCACCTATTCCAGTACTCTCTCCTTCTACCACTCCCTACCCACCTGATCACTCCTGTTCCCATCTCTACCCGTCCCCAGTCCACCTGCAAAATCTATTGTAGTTCCCCTTCCCAGGTTAAAAAAAAGGTATCTTAAATGAATTTATTCTTTTCTCCTTGTGAAACTAATTTATAGACATTTATTTGTTATAGTATACATTTCAAAAGGAAAAATTAGGCAGTGCATCATGAAAGTGGACTGAAAACAAAGGCATTGTTATTTTATTGTCCATGATTATCCGCATTTTCACTGCTTTGAAAGTGCCCTGGTGCATTCACGTTTCCCATGATTTCCCTCTGCAAGGTCTTCCTAATAAAGTTGTACCATCTGTTGTCACTCATACAATCTGTTCCCTCACTCCACTCACACCGATCTCCTTAATGTTCTTCTCAACTACAAGAATGTCTCCACCTCAGGATGCTTGAATTTGTTGCTTCCTTGGATGGAAGTTTCCTTGACTGCATTCAGGTCTCTCTGTAAAGAGATTCAGAGTCTGACTCCTTCATAAGCCAGTCACTTTCCTTCCCATGTGCACTGCCCCTCCACTCTGCCTTGTTTTCACAGTGCTCACCAGCAGCTCAGCTGCAATCTAAATCAAAGTGAGTGCATTAGCTTGATCTGTTTTAATTACACAAGCCTGCTTGTAACATTTGCCTGTCCCTGCTAATGTGGCCAATAAGCTAAAACTAGATAGGTCACGGATCTAGGAGGAAAGCATTATTTTTCTGCTAAAGGAGCATAGCAATAAAATGATTCCTAATGATGTATTATTGCTGTACCCATAAATCAGCACCTTGCTCAGTCCTCATCAGAACAGCTTTCCTCTTGTTGTAAATGGGAATTTACAGAGGTGCACAATGGGCAGTGCACAGAGTATGAGAGACTTGAAGTGCTTAATCCTAAATAGGATATCATCAAAACCCTGTCCTCAAGGCTTAGGGATATATGTAGTAGCGAGGCCAGAAAGACTGTAAGAGCTGGATGTGATGGGTGACTTTCAGACACAACAGGACTGAATCAATATGTATAAACCAACAGAGACTGGTGGCATGCACAAGGAATGAACATGTTCAAGTGAGATGAGGTCCCAGCACTGAGAGGGGACATGGACATGGCTTCCCATCCCTAACAAATAAGCTGTCTTCAATTGACAGCCACGGGTAAAGGAAACATCTGCTGTCGTCAACAGAATCTCACTGGATATATTAACCCCATATCAGGGCATTCCCCATACCCATTAGTAGTTGCCTAGCACAAAACAAACTCAATGGTTTTTTTTTTTGTAGACTTTTTGTCTCATTTTGCTTTGTTTTGGGAATGTTTTTCTTATTATTCTTTTGATTGTGTATTTTTATTTCTGTTATTGTGTTCTGTTGTTTTGTGTGTTTGTTCTGAGAAAGAGGAAAAGCATAAATTTTGTTAGGTATGGAGAATATGGAAAGAACAGAAGTAGGGGAAAATATGATCAAAATATCTGGAAATTTTTTCAATGAAAAGGAGGAAAAATAAAAATACAATGCTTTAAAAATATTTGCATGTAGATTGGTTTGAGGGATATATAGTTACAGTTTATATTTGACATTTATCTTATTTGTGTATGGATACTCAATTCTGATAGCAGAGCTTATTGAAAATACACTTTGTCTCAGTCTGCACCATTATAGCAGAATGCCAAAAAATAGTAACTTATAATTAACAGAAATTTTTTATTCCATGTTTCTGGAGGCTTTGAAGTTAAAGATTAATGCAAAAATCAGGGGAGGGACCTTAGGCTGAGTCATTTATCTCTGAAAGGCAAAATGGGAGCAACAAAATTTCAATGCCATGAACCATTTGAGCTTATACTTTGTTCCCTCAAACAAAATAATTTAAAACAAAAATTGTTTCTTCGATCTATTTTATTTATCTTTCATTTTGTTCTTAAAATTGGTATTTTCGAATGTTCCATATTCAAGAGCATGGACTAGTTCTTTGACTTGATCTATTCTACTGTCAATGTTCTCCATTATGTTTTCAATTTTATTTTTTGTGCTTCAGATTCAGGATTTCTTTAATTTTTAAAAAGTTTTTATTTCAATATGTCAATAAGTATTGATTTTTATGTTGAGTCAATTATTGTATTTCTACCTTATTTTAAGTTTTATTAAACAATAAACAATTAGAAAACTCTAAATGTTCTTTGAACATCCTTTAAGCAGATATTTCGAATTTTTTGTCTGGGATGTTATGCATCTCACTCTAGTTATGAGTCACTAACACTTTATTTTGGGTACCTGTTGATGCATTTTGATGGTCCCTTAATTGTCCTTGACTTTACAGTCATCTTTTGTAGATTTGAAGAGGTAGACACTTACTTCAATCTTTACAAAGAGCACTGATCTGGCAGTGCACTTGAGGAGCAGGCCTACCAGGGGATCTGAACCATCTGGTGTAGACTTTGCACCTTGGGTGCACAGTGACTATTGTAGCACCCTGATGTTGTCATAGTCTGGAATCGGTGATGTAATGGATTAATTTAGGGTCTGGTCCTCTCTGAGACAGAGAACCCAAAGGTATTTCTCTCCCTTAATCTCTTTGTTTCACAGAGGTCGGCAGTCTGGGATGGGTTTGAAGCTTCTTCTCCCCAGATACCTAAGACAGAAACTCGCATGATTAGAATGCTTTTTTCTGATGTTGGATAAGTGTGGGTAAATGAAGGAGTCTTTGCCTAAGGCAGATGCGATCATTTGTCATGTTGAGGAGGCACAGGTTTTACTAAAATTAATACAAGGGATGGATTGTAGGGGCAGGGTTATACAGGCCCATATTCCTACATTAAAGGCAGTCAGAATTCTTTGCGACCTGACAGGCACAATTTGCAACTCCCACACAGAAGATGGTCACCTAGACTTTTGATAGTTAGACAACCTGATGCCACCCTAATCAAGAGGTCAGCATATGCCAATGTCGTTCTGCTCCTTCTATTGTAATTTAGGAGGTCACCTGGGGAAGAGGTGATTTCAGTCTATGTGGCACAATGAACATGGACATGGACTTGACAGCAAACACAGCTATGGGCGTGACCAAGATCATTTCCCCTGCTACCTGGGAAACAGAATGCTAATGAGTTTCCCCCTCAGTTTATGATTGATATAAAAGCTGTTTGGATAATAAATGTGGGTAACCTTCAGGATTTAAATGAACCCTGAGACTCCTTCCTGATATTGTCGCGTGAACTGTATCTCATTTATTCCCACACCTCCACTCTGGTACAAGAAATGGTTTATGTCTGGGCCGGTGCCCTACAGTGTATAGATAAGAAACTACATTTTTTAGAACTAATTTTACCCAACACTTCTGGCTTCCCTCTTGTTACTGCAGCAGGAAACTGGGAAGGCGAGAAATGTAAACAGAGTTTAATAAACATGTTTACAGCATACAGAGGGAAATTCCTCATAGGCAATGAGGAAAGTATTTTCTAGACAATCACAGATTCTTTCTAGTCCTAGTCACTTGTTTTCCTGTGGGCCAAGAAAATGATGTATGAGAAGCTGAGAGGGCATACACAGTCAGGATCTCAGATTTGCATAGTCATCTTCCTGGCACACATCTGTGGGGATACTGGAATGTTCTGACTCTCAAGACAGCCAAAATTTTGGTTTCCAATTTTTTTTAATGAAAACCAAAGTCCAGAGTACATCCTCAGTCTAAAGATTTCTGTAAAACATTTACCAAAACACTGTGAATGCTAGCATTTCGGAAAAGATTTGCTGCTTGTTATTTGCTCTAAACAGGCTCTGTGTGGATGCGTATTTATAGGTAAGGATTTATGATAGAAGAATGGTGAGTCCTTGTCCTTTCTCTCATACAAGGTGGGAAAAATCAAACATTGGTTTAAAAAGGAAATATTGATTTTTTTGTGGGCGTCTATACAGTGAAAAAGGGGTGTTTATTCAACTTGCAAAGTGCATATACTTACTAATTTGTACCATAGAGAAAATCTTTAATTTTTATTTTCAGATTATAATTTGATTACACGATTTCTCCCTTTTCCTCCCTCCAAACTTCCTATACACCCATCCCTGCTCTCTTTCAAATTCATGGCCTCTTTTTCAACTAATTTTTATTGAATGTAAATATTTATATACATATATATTCCTAAATATAACTAATCTGTTCTGTAAAATTGTAGCTGTACATATATTTTAGGACTGATTTGACAGTGAATAATGAAATGGTGTGCTCTTCCTTATGGAAGGCAACCTCTTCATTTCCCAGATTTCCTCCCTGGACTGTAGTTCTTTGTGTAGTTTTGAGGGCTTTTGGACTTTCTCTATCCAGTTTGATGTGTTTGTTGATGTCAAAATTCTTGAGAGATCTATGGCAGGTTTCCATTCCAAATGGATAAGAACTATGGAGATATTGTGAAAGCTTGGCAGTGCATTTGGTTAGCAATATTTGCAAAGAAGCATTATGTTCCAGCAACTTTTATTCAGTTCCAAAGGTACAGGGATGTTGGGCAATTAAAATTGTCTTTAATTCTTTTTCATTGGATACTTACCAGGAAAATAAAATGTCTCAGACAAATGTCTGATGGAATATGATGAAAATATGAAGAACATAAAGTGCTTTCATTGCTAGTCGATATTATCTAAAATAGAAATGTAACGTACAAGATTTGATCTATATTGTTCCTGTGATTTCTATTTCTAAAATTTTGATTTTTATATCTTAATTTATTTTTATATTCTTCCATATTCTGATGATTAGCACATGTGAAATGTACATAAACTCATGCATAATTAACAAAAGTTTGTGTATTACTTTATGTTTCATCCTTTTAACTCAATAGTTCTCCATTTCTGCATATGTACAAGAATATTTATATTAATAGTTACTTAGAGTAGTGACAGATTATGAGTTTATGATTATAAAATCTCATCATAGTTTGGATATAATCACTGCATTTTTGTTCTATTCCTTCAAGGTTTTATAAAATTTATTCTTTGTATTCATTTTGTCTGACTAGTTCTACCTAGATATATTTTCAATAAAGTGAAATCTCTGTCTGAAGACCTTAAAGACCACAATGAACTTTATCCATTAATAATGCTAACATTTGCCACTTCTGTAGCTTCTTCAGACTTCAATCCGTTCCTTTAACTGGACATCACACTTGTGTTGTCATTGCACATTATTATTTGTTATTTGTGTGTGTGTTTCCGCATTTCTCAAACACTCTCGTGCTATCCAGTTGGCTGACATTATAACAAAGCCTATGATTTTATACCAGATTTACTTTCTCTTTTGTGTTTGTGACACTCTCAGAAAAATGTTTTCAGTGAAAAAAAGTCAGTTGCCTATAGGAATATTAGACCCCTACTATTTTGTTACACCCCAGGACATTAGAATGAATGTAAGAAACCTTTTTGCTGCTTTTACCAAGAGATAAAGTATTGCCACTGGCATCTAGTAAAAGTCTGTGGATTCTGTTGTATGATCAGCAGTGTACAAGATTGTCTTCAAAAACAAAGAATGAATTACCTTGGCCAAAATACTATAGAGTCCAATTTGAATCTCTCTATTCTAATGTTACCAAAAAATACAAATAAAAGGCATGTATTAACATTACAATGAATGAGGAAAAGAATACTATATAGAAACTACAGAAAATATAAGAATGGTAAGAAAATAGCAAGACAAACAATACTAAATATTGTTTGAAAAACATAGAAATTTACTGATATAGAAGCTTCTTAGAATATATATGTATATGAAAATAATTTAAATGGAGTCTCCAAATAATAAGGGAGACAGGACCCCAACTAGATATCATAAGCCATGAAATTAAACCTCCAGAGCCAGGATCACATATAATCTTTTTGAGTTATTGGCCATGAGGTCCCATGGAATTCCAAGACATCACAGGCTATTGTAAATTTATTGGTTACTCTCTATAATCTGATAGCCCTATTGCTAAGACGAACACTTACTTATAGCATTGAGAATAGAGGAGTTGAGCTTGTGCAATACGAGAAGTTTCACACTACTGAATAGTGTCCATGTTACTGGAAGATACTTTGCACACCACTGGAAGAGAAAGGTAATCATCAACATTTCCCAGCTACAAACCCTATGACATAAAACAGTGACTTACCTGCAAGACACACCAGTACAATAATGGCACAAATGTTATAGGAGTAACAAACCACTTTGTGAAATCACCCTTAAAACCTTCTCTGTGAAATGTAGCACATGTGTGATAGTGATACTGTGGCCAAGAACCCAAGTTTAGATAGACCATGACCTTGACGAAACCATATTGTATTTTCTACTAAAGAAACATAGAAATAAAATGATTCGTAATGACATACTGCTATACCCATAGATCAGTACTCTCTTAACTCACATCATAGAAAGTTCCTCTTCTAGTAGATAGGAATTAGCCCAAGACCAAAAACTAGACAATGTGCTGAGAATGATTTTGGAGCTCTTTGGCATAAATAAGACATTTTCTTTTTTTATTATTTTTATTGAGATGTACATTTTTCTCTTCTCCCCTCCCTATCATCCCCTCCCCTTAAACCCTCTCATATTCATCAACACGCCCCTTCAAGACTCAGGGATCAATGTAAAAGAGAAGGCTAAAAGATCATAATAGTCAGAGAGGATTCCAAGGCAATGGTGTCTATCAGACTAAATGGATCTAATGTATTTATGAACCCACTGAGATTATGGCAGCACACCAAAACTTGCATAGATTCAGATCAAACGGGTTCCCACCATGAGATAGGAAAACACTGTGAACAATCAAGGAGATAGCTTTGGAAAATGACAGCCTCTGTCAGAAGCTTTCTAAAAGGAGGTGTCATTGGGTATACTAACCACACAAAACAAACTTTCTGGCATTTTTGTTTCCTCTTGCTGTTTTGCCATTTTTATTGTTATTTTGCCAATTTTTTTATTAGTTTAATTTTTGTTTTGTGTTGTGTTTTTCATTTTTGTTTCTTGGTTTATATTTGAGAGAGAAAGAGAGATACAGAGAACATAGAATTGAGTGGGTAAGGAGGTTGGAAGGATCTGGAAGGAATTGGGGTTAGGGGAGGAGGAAAGAAGATCAAAATGTATTTCATGACCAATAGTTTCTAATAAAAAGACAAAAAGGGGCATAAATTTAAATAGACCTCTAACCTCTAAATTATAGTTGCCCAATCCAAAAACAGCCCACAGTCAGATGTTTTTTAGCGCAGAAATCTACCAAATATTCAAATATGAGCTAATGCCAATAGTCATCAAATTATCTCACAATAGAAACAGAAGGAACATTGCCAAATGCATTTTATGAGGGCACAATCACCCTAATATCCAAACCACACAATGATTCAACAAAAAACAAGAATTACAGACTAATTTCCTTTATGAGCATAGATATAAAACTACTTTTTAGAATGCAAACCAAATCTAAGAACACATGAAAACTATTATCCATCATGCCCAAGTAGGTTTCACCCCAGAAATGAATGGACATCTTTACATATAAAAATCAATCAATGTAATCCCACACATAAACAAACTGATATCTAAAAAATCTTACGATTATCTCATTAGATGTCCCCCACCAAAGAAAGCCTTTGAAGAAAATCCAAAACCTCTTCGTGATAAACATCTTAAAGAGCATAGGGATACAAGAAATATACCTCAATATAATAAAGGCAACTTACAGCAAACTTAAATCCAAACTCAAATTAAATTGAGAAAAACTAAAAGCAATTTCAGTAAATTCGAACAAGACAAGCTTGTCCACAGTTGCAATAAAAATTCAATTGAGTACTAGAAAATCTAGCTAGTGCAATAACAACTGAAGAAAATCAAGGGGAATGCAAGTTAGAAAGGAAAAATTCAAAGTATCACTATTTACAGATGGCAAGAACTTATACAGCTGATACATACCTTCAGCAGTGAAGAGACTGGATATGATCACAAAATCATATGTCCTAAAAAGAAGATATGAGGAAAGGCTGGTGTAGATCCAGATCCTACTGGTTTAGCATTGTTATGATCTAAATGTTCGCATGTCTTCAAGGGTCCTATGTTGGAAGGTCTTGCCAATATGATGGGTTACAGCAGGATCTGGAGCCCTTGGGAGAGGTTCTGTGCCACCTTTTCAGATGTTATGAATGCCTTCATAGGTTAAGCTCCTGAGAGCAAACCTACTCCTTCCGTCCCAAGAAGGCACAGCTAGAAGGTGTATCTAACAAAAAAACAGAGTTCTACAGGACAAGAAACATGCCAATGTCTTGATCACGGATTTCCCAGCCCTGTGAGATATAAATTCCTGATGTTTATATGCCTGTGACTCCTTATTTTAGAGGTAGTCTGGACACTTTGTGTAAAGATCTTCCCACTCCTGACTTGCTATTGTCACTAATCTTTTTTCATCTGAGGTATCGGAAGAGATGTTCTACTTACAGGGTTCTCAGATGCTCCAGGTTCTGGAGAACTCCCTGAGGAAGCACCTGCCTGAGACCTTAAAGGTGAGAGTAGAATGTTTTCATAGAAACTGAGGATTACACCGTGGTAAGGCAGAGGAGGGAAAGAGTCAAGACTCACTGAGCACTGGCACCATGACATTCTAAAACAAATGTCACAGTTTACTCCCAAAGGATAATTCAAAATTTTTGTGAGATTCATTCACAAAATAAAAACTTGAAAGAATGTTGAAGATATACATCAATAATAGTGTTTACCTAACCTGTGCAAGGTCCTAGGTTTAATTGCCAGTGGAAAATAATAATTTTCCTGATTCTTAAATGACAAATCACTATTTAGTTGAAATCATATTAGAAACTAAGTAATAAGGATTCTGGTCTTATTTAAAATTTGATTTAATTGTGTTCTCAACATGGCTCTAGCAAGGAAAGATTTTTTTGTGGCCACTAACAGGATGTTTTTTAAATTTATTGTTATTGAGCTCTACATTTTGCTCTGTTTCCCTCCATGCCTCTCCCCTACCCCATTCATCCTCCCCCATGGTCCCCATGATCCCAATTTACTCAGGAGATCTTGTCTTTTTATACTTTCCTTGTAGATTAGATTTATGTAAATCTCTCTTAGTGCACTCATTGCTGTCTAGGTTAGCTGGGATTGTGATCTGTGGGCTGGTTTTCGCTGCTTTATGTTTAAAGGCCACCTAGGAGTAAGTACATGCGATAATTGTCTTTTTGTGTCTGGGTTACCTAACTCAAAATAATGCTTTCTAGCCCTACCCATGTTCCTGCAAAATTCAAGATGTCATTATTTTTTCTGCTGTGTAGAGTACTATACTATATAGTATAGTATAGTATAGTATAGTATAGTATAGTATAGTATAGTATAGGACTCCATTGTGTAAATGTACCACATTTTCCTTATTCATTCTTCAGTTGAGGGGCATTAAGTTTGTTTCCAGGTTCTGGCTATGACAAATAATGCTGCTATGAACATAGTTGAGCACATGTCCTTGTTGCACGATTGAGTATCCTTTCCTTTGGATACATAATCAAAAGTTTTATTACTGAGTCTTGAGAAAGGTTGTTTCCTAATTTTCCGAGAAATTGCCACACTGACATACAAGGGCCTGTACAAGCTTGCGTTACCAGGATAGGAAGCCTTTTTAAAGTATAAAATCTATTAAAATGTATATTACCAGGTGCCTCTGTAGCATATATTATTTCAATGAAATAAGATTTAATGTATAAGAATTTCTAGTTCTCTTTTTATGTTTGACATAACTCACTATGGAAATTTTCAGTGAACTAGGATTTGGCCTATATATGTTCCCAGAAGAGATGAGGTAAAATTGTCTGACATAAAACATACTAATGGCATGGAAACCCCATTTTTATAGGTTGACCTGGGACTCCCTGGTTATTCCAGGCAGTCCTTGAATTTTCAACCTGAGTGCCTCAGCCTCCCTATTATCTGAAATAATAGACATGTATCACTAACCCTGGCTAAATCTTAACTTAGATGAGAAACAGTGATCCACACATATCAGCATCCAGATGATGCAGATATAAAATGACATAGTATGAATATTAAAGCAGCGATTACAAGAATTCTTCAGGTATAGTAAGTAAAACACTTGCCATGAATGGAAACCATTTCTGAAATGTTTCAGCTTCATGAAATTTGTCTTAATAGGAAAAGAAATAAATTTAATATCTAGAAAATATTTTTATTAGATTCTACATCAAGAGTTAATGAGTTTATTAGTAAATCACATCATTTTTATATTTTATCTCAATGTTTAAAAGATACTGTTGTTAGAATAAGCAACTTGACACTAGGAAACATTTGAAAAATTCATTTATTACATCTTTCCAACAAAAATTTCATGTTTTCATAAGAATGATCATTGTTCTAGTCAAATATGCTACAGCTTCCCATCTCTTTGTAATATGATGACATTTCTGCTGGCTTGAAATATTTAGGTTTATGGGACTGTCTTCCACATGAATCAGGGAAACCCATTCAAGCTCAAGGCTCTGGTGGACAAGTGGCCTGATTTTAATACTGTTGTTATTCGACCCCGGGAGGAGGTAAGTTGCAATATAGAATAAATATGCCTGTATTTCCACATGTGTTGCATTCCTAGCATGTGTCTGGCTGGATGGTTGATGCAACTGCCTAATCCCTTCATGAAAAATAGACATGAATTGTGCTAATGTCAACCAATACCCTGCCTTAAGGATAATTCACAAAAGTCCACAAAAATTACAGAATGTTATAAAATGTTCAAGAAGGGAAATACACAAAGGTGTAGTAATAAGCCATGGAGAATGGTAACTAAAGGTTCAGATGGTACACTTTCATTTTTATCCACGCTTTTGTTTTACTTGGCAGCATAGTTCCCCATCAGCAGTGGCTGATTTGAACTGTGAGCACACTTTATCACTTCATTATTTCTTATGTCTTGTTTATAAGATTTAGAGGCAACTGATGGAAAGTATTATCAACATAAGAACATGTTGATACACAAAAAAGTGGCTTGATCTTTTATTATAAACATGAAAACAACATTTCCCGAGGGCTGGAGAGATCACTCAGTGTAGTGATAAGAGTGAGCGGCAGGGCTGCGTCCCGGCACCCAGCCGCCCACATGGCTAGCTTATGCCTGAAATAATTACACGGAAACTGTATTCTTTTAAACAGTGCCTGGCCCGTTATCTGTAGCCTCTTATTGGCTAGCTCTTACATATTAATTTAACCCATTTCTAATAATCTGTGTATCCCACGAGGTGGCTTACCAGAAAAGATCTTAACCTGAGTCTGTCTGGAGTGGGAGAATCATGGCGACTCCCTGACTCAGCTTCTTTCTCCCAGCATCCTGTTCTGTTTTCTCTGCCTACCTAAGGGTTGGCCTATCAAATGGGCCTAGGCAGTTTCTTTATTAGTAAGAAATCACTCGCACATCAACTCAGTGGTTAAGAGCACTTACTGTTCTTGCAGAGAAGTAGGGTTTGGAACCAGGAACCCATGTGGTGACTGCCAACTCTGAGGAATTCCAGTTATATGGAATCTGACACCTTCTTCTATTCTCAACAGGCATCACTCACATGTGATATCATACATACGTGCAAGCAAAACATTCATATTTATACAATAAAAAAAGGAAATCTGTAGAGAAAAGGGTATTACCTAAGCTAGGTTTGTATATTTTAACAAGTTTGTTCTTAGTTTTATTTTCAACTATTATCCTATGGTAAAACAGATTTCTTTTTTTTTTAATTTCTTTTTTTTTATTTTATTGAGAATAAGAAAAAAAAGTTTCCGCCTCCTCCCAGCCTCCCATTTCCCTCCCCCTCCCCCACTCTTCTCCCCCTCCCC